TTACTAAATTAATTACTTAGTTTTCCTCTGAATTCATTCAAAACAAATCAAGTTGATACTTATCGCCATGACGATTAGCCGCTTGACAAACTTCAGATAATTTTGATATGCTTGAAACTAGTACGATTTCACCTTACTGGTTAAACGGAAAGAAGATAAACGATACAGTGATAAGATGGGCCGGTCAGTAAAGGATTTTTGGAAGGGCAAATGTAAGCTGAAGATCAAGTGTCGCGAATATAGAGGTTCGAAATTTCAGAATAAAATTCCAAGTAAGTATCAGGGACCTAATGTCCCCAAAAATTTTACTATTGCATCTTCACAACGTCTAACTAAAAACAAGATGTCGTTCCGTAGTTATCTAAGCGAATTCGCCTTTCACTATCCTTTAGTTTTACTCCACATTCTATTCTAATTCAAAATCGAAAATCAAATCCTACTAGATTATTGAATTTACTGTTATGTATAATACATAGATTATCGTCTGCATTTGTTTGTTTTTGCAGTCCTCACATGTATCCTGATTTTCCTATTTTCGTCTTCTTTCCCTTTTTGAGAAGTCAGCTGAATATTTTTATATATAAGTATAACAGAATGTGTAAAATTATGATCACTGTAAACGTTATTGAAATTCCTATGTATAATTTCATCTCTGGAGCAACTGTAAATAATTTTCCCACAAAACGTTAATAATAATAATAATAATAATAATACAGATTGTAAGCAAGACAACAGGGAGTACTCTGCAAGAAACAGTCCTATCAAACCGTTGTCAAAGGCGGCACAAGGCCTGATCAGTATGTAAATAAGAGAGGAGATAGCAGAGATTTTATGGAACATAGTAGTATGTAGCTCATCCTTCTGGCAAGGTGGATCTTGACAAAGTTTATCCAGAAGTTCCAGTTCCGTCTTCCTAACTTTAGTTCGTTAAATACAAGAATTAAGCCACATAAGGATGGATGAACGGCTTAAAAGTCCTCCTCAATTTTCCTGCCTATCAGAAAGAGGTCAGGTTGACTGTATGAAAACCGGATAGCCTCGCTGTCCAGATTTTCGAATGGGATCATTATAATATTCGTCTTTTTCTTGACGGGACAAACGATCCACTGGTCAATAATAACCCTCATTTATTGTAACCTTTCGAAAGTAAAGGGCATCACTATAAAAATGTGGAACCTAACTTCATTGGGGACAGGCATAAAAAACAATGTGTAATTCACTAATTTAAGTGCCGATTGCTTTGCACCCTGAAAAAGGCACTGAAGCACTACTTCTTCACAAGACTTTTATATTTTTGCAGCAAAAATTCAGATTCTTAGGTTCAGGAACGCACTTTCTACTGAGCCACGTGATCACCTGAAGTAATTTTTATACACCGAAGCAGCTTCAAGAGTGATTTGAAAATGAAATAACACTTTGTAACTCAAAGAAATCCAAGCAGTCCAGTCTTCTCAGAAAACTGCGCGTGAAAGAGTAAACACTGAGATGCTGTACCGATAAATGTTCTATCCATTCAAAAGTCTCTTCCTACAGCTTTAACCCTGACCACTAGAAAATTTTCAAGAGAAAGCCGGACAACCATCTCTGTATTTGTGATCTATTGTCAGAAAAATGGTTTAACTAGGTGTGGTGTTTGAATGAACTAGTAACTTCTTGTTGTTGTGAAATGCTTGATTTCGAATTCTAAATACAATACATTCGTTTGTGCATATCTTAATTCTTGATACATATACTTCTAAGCATCACAGTGGCGTCGCGATGGAACTTGTAATGGAACAGCTAGATATTCATTCTACTTCTGAAGCTTTTGAAGATTATTTGGAAAGGTTTGAAATCTGGAGTATGACCAGGAAAGATGTCAAAGATGATAAAATTGTGGCTCATTTCCTAACATTCATCGGAAAAGAAGCGTACAGCTTATTGAAAACCTTGGCATATCCAGAAAAACCTATTTCACTTCCCTATGCAATGCTTAAGGAGTTATTATTGAATCATGTAAAGTGCCCTGGTTTTGAATGCCGTGAAAGAGCGAAATTTCATAAGATGATTCGTCAAAATGACCAAAATGTTAAGGAATTCATTCTTGAATTGCAGAAACAGGCTGTCAAGTGTAATTTTGGTGATCAACATCATGTGCAGCTGAGAGACCGAATAATTGCAGGAATTAACATACCTAGTTTGGAGAGAGAGCTGTTAAGAATGTCAAACTGTTCCTTTCAAGATGTTAGAACTGCGTGCATTAACTACGAGGCGTTGAATGAACTTGATATTCAGTCGATGAAGATTTCTAATACTTTGATTAGTTGTCATGATGAAAAGCAATCTCAGGGTCAATCAAAATTGTGTTCGTTTAACAGAGGTTCCGATTCTCGTGTAAAAATGAACGGTGTCTCAAAAAAGAATTACAAAGGAAATCATAAAGGTGAGACCAAGTTTGGCAAATGTTTATCATGTGGAAAACTTCATTCTCGTTATTATTGTACATTTCGTAATGCTAAATGTTTTAGATGTGGTAAGATAGGACACATTCAAGCAGTTTGCAAAGCTACTGTTCATTTTGCCTCAAGTAGTACTAAAGCTTGTAATTTAGATTCCAATAATCCAGCTGATCCTAATGATCATTTATCTTTAACTACCATTTCGAAAGGTAATGCTCATATTCAAAAGCGACTATATACATCACTTGGTTCATTTCATGACTTTATTGTGGACACAGTCAGTATAGAGTCCATTATTTCATTCAAGAACCTGAAATCGTTAGATCCGAACGTTGTGATACGACCCACTGAAGTATCGATATTGGGGATTACTGGACACAGACTGCCTATACAAGGATGTTGTGAATTGCTAATAAGAGATGATGATTCCTCATACATACCATGTGAATTCTTAGTTAGCGAAACGGGACTGTCAATACTGGGTTTAAAGAATTTGAAAAGGCTTAAAGTGGAGTTGTCTCTCCTAGTTTCTAAAGAAAATTCTGATGCTTTACTTAAAGATTCGATAGCCACGTGTGCTAAGTGCAGTGGAGGTATGAAAACTGCTATTGATTCTATTGCCGCCTCAACATTTAATGAGCTGGAGAGGTGAGTAGATACCTTTTTACTGCAATATAGAAATGCCAGACATTCAGTGACGAAAGAGACTCCATCAAAACTATTAAAAGGAAGAATTCCTCGGTCGAATATGAGATGTTTGGAGTCTGCAGGAGTTACATATTATCGTGGCAATGATCTTCGACCATCCACGGGGATTGTTCTGAAGAATGTTGGGAAATCTATGGTGCGACTTCTAGATATCAATGACTTAAGTACACACAATCGACATGTTGATCAAATACAATTCCAAGAGCCAGATAATACAGAGCCTTTATCCAATACACTGTCGGACAGACACAGGATGAATTTGAGAAGAAGACGTACAATTGATTACAGACATATACATTCCAATTTAAGCTGCGGCGGATGTGGTGTTTGAATGAACTAGTAACTTCTTGTTGTTGTGAAATGCTTGATTTCGAATTCTAAATACAATACATTCGTTTGTGCATATCTTAATTCTTGATTCATATACTTCTAAGCATCACACTAGGTTAAATCGCATATATCAACAGATAAAATCTTCCTGTATTCATCAGTACGAAATTACGTTAGAAATATACGGAGCTACTTTAAATAATAATTAAAGATAAGAAAAATTTTAACAGATGAGCCTGACACAATTAAGAGGTCTCCCTGAAGAATTCTGATCGTAGTTCTTACTTAGCATTGAGTAACAGATGCAATCTCAAAGTTCGAAGTGATCGGAGACGCTTTCAGATGAAGCTAGCTGCCAAAATACAGGCAAACCTGAATTATCTGTTTAGGTTCATGACTAAAAGAAAACCTGCCGATCAGTGTTTGTGTTTTCACCAACGTTGAGATGTCTGAAATCTTCAACACAGACTACAATGATAAGTTAAGCCAACCTTTCATATTTTCAGAGTACTACACAAACGGAGTGCCAGCTGACTGTATAGGGAATATCCGTATAACTTTAAGGAAACTAAAATCCTTATGCTCAGGAAAGTCACCAGGTTGTGACAGTATTCTCCTCATAGTCTTGAATTAATATGCAGAAACCCTCTGTTCACCGATATGTGACCTGTTTAGGCATTCACTGGAGTCACACCAACTTCCAGCCGAATGGGAAAGAGCCACTCTCTCCACAATTTTCAAGAGAGGAGATATGAAGCAACTATCCTAGACCAGTCTCATTACTACCAATCCTATCAAAGGTAATGGAAGTGCTGGTGAAGGAACAAATGTTGGAGTACATTGATTAGAAAGGACTTGATAAATATGTACTTACATATGGATTATCCCTCGCGGGCCAACTGTGCTTGATGCATGTCTTGAAACGTTTAAGTTGTAACTATTGCCATCACCTCGTTTCACTAACTTAATCTATCTCGCCTATTAGCTCTGTTTCCTCTCCTATGCTTACATTTCCGTCCTCTCTCACAATCTTCAATACCAATTAATAAACTAAATTATCTGTTGATTTACTTGTCTATGAAATCCTCTCATTATAAGAATTGGACTTTTCTCCTGATTATTACCCACATTGCAACTAACTGACCTCCGGCCTGGAAAGTGATAGCTGCTGGTATTCAGAAACCCTACTTTGCTAAAACAAACATTCTCATCTGAATCACGGGACATACAACCTCATAACTTACTCCGAATTGGATAGAGTTAGACACCCGAATGGCCAGACCTCCATTCATTGAACACTACCAAATACCTGGGACCGTTCTGAAAGAACTGGAAACCAGCTCAAAGAAATCAATTGGTTTATACTAGCTCGTGAAAATGACATTGGATAATTGCATGACCACTTGACTACTTTCTACGCCTTACGGACGTATATGCCTGAAAAAAATTAATGAAATCATATTATTACCTAACAATGTCAAATGGTCAGAAAACTGTTTAAATGAATAAAATGCTTTCACTTTAGGGTCAAGTAGGGTGTGATTGGTTTGATTGAACTCGACCTACAAGTTTTTCGATCTTTCTGTTGATACAATTTATGAGTGATAAATTACTACGCCTTGAAGACCCATTGCTCAACAATACCTCTGTATCCATTAATAATGGAAATATTGTTAACGGTAGCTCTCCTTTGAATCAGAATTCCCACTATTCGTCACGAAGTTATTCTAACGACCATGGTTCAGAATCTGGATTTTTGGAAGATTGTGATCGTGATTTCCCCACAAAACCAGTAGTTACTAGACCTACACTAGCTGACAAGCGCAGCAGTACTGTAACTGGAAGTAGCAGCAGTGGCATTGGTACTATACCTGGGGGGTCTATCCGAACTGGGTCCAGTTTCATAACCTTAAGCTGCCAAGAAAAGGAAAAACGTTCACATACTTCTCATGACAGGGAAAAGCCACTGAAGATGCCTGCCGTAACTCAAGGTACAGCACTTTTGAACTGTAATCTTATGCTATTCCTAACATGCTAAATAATTTTTATTTACTTAACAATAATTCTGTACCTATTTCAGTGTCTGAGTTTCTAATCTTGCTTTAAAATCTTTCGATGACTCTCTGAGTCAAATTACTGTTTTAGTCCGTAACGGTTAATTGATAGACTGTAAAAGACGTTATCAGGGCGAACTTGCTACTATCCATGAGCTGTACAATGACATCATTCTAGTGACTTGACGCACTCTGCTGAAGAAATTAGAACCCACTCTCGCTCAGTTAAGTCTCTGGTTTTCTTGTCTATTTTTTGGAAATTTAAACAGTACAACATATTGAAAGTCATGATTTTAATCTCATGAGATGGCAACTTACCTGGAAAACACATTCACGACCTCAGATTAATCTTCATATCTACCCTCAAAATTTATAGGACTGAGTCATCCGTCTAATTAAAAATACATCATACGACATTGTTTTTAGCATCTAAAATTCGTTATTTACACATCTTTGTCGGTTTATATTTACGTGTATACTGGCTATCGATTTTCCAACCTCCTGGCTGTTACTAAACCTCGATCAAATTTAACATTCAAAGTCGATTTCATTTCTTACCAAGTGAGTGGATTATGTTATCTAAACGTCCACAACATAAGTTGTGTTTATTTAACGACTCCATATTTAAAAACATTGTGAAGTGTTAACAATTTTCATAGGCATAAAATGTTCGTGAAGCTCGGTAGTATTTAAAACAAGGTGCCGAGAGAGATCGTTCATCACAAGAACTAAAGAAAATTTTAGTATATATTAGCAGTAATTTGAAAGTTAAACAAAATATCGTTGAAAAAGCTGGGTAAATTTTTTGGCAGTGGAAATTATATACACTCTGAAGGCATGTAATGGGAATACGAGACAATAACCACATATCGTCTAATCTTGAGACACAAGTCAATCGTAACCGATCCCTATTCGACATTGCTACTAAGCCGTTATCTATTTTGTTGATCAGAGTTTCCAAATTGGTTTTTAACAACATTCTCAAATAGTGACCTGACGAGAACCTCGAGCGATTTAATACCTCCGAACCAGATTTCTTTATACGCGGTGAGTTGAATAAGCTGGTTTTTATAAAAATAAATCACTGTCTGTTAGGATTTGCCACTAAGCAATTATACTAAGTAGCAAAAATATAATTGGTACAATAGTTGTAGTGAATGAGGACTGTAAGACCAGATGAAACAATCCATTTATCTAAAACGTCTACTTCAAAAAGTTCAGACGAAGATAATATTAAATCTTGAAGCATGTGTATGACAAAGTTAAACAGGAACTGATAGAGTTGACAGCCGTGACGGACACTTGAAGTAACCAATTCCGATGACAGTTCGCCATAAGCTGTCACTCGACCAGTGGTGTTCGAGTAGAGACCGTATAAGGCCATTGTACTTCTTTTGTACCCTGTCAATGACAGACGGCCACAGAAACTCATGACCAACAGAGTCAAGTGCCTTAAAGTCCAGGAACATGACCATTGTTGGACGCCTAAATGTGTCCGTATTCCAGGACCTGTCGTAGTATAAATATGTGGTCTATACAGCCATGTTCAGGTCGAAAACCAGCCTGGCTTTCTCTAGTCTGCTCTTCACGAGCTATAGTTAGGCCTCGCAGTATTATTGGAGCCAGGTATCTGAGACACCATATCAGTCAAACTGACTCGGCTGTCTGTCACAGGAGGACTTTTGTCCATTCTTATAGACTGAAATAATCAGTAATTGAGACCGATCAGATGGGATTACGCCCAGTTCCCCGATTCTACCTAAGATCTCAGTCAATCTAACTGTTAAAGCTTGACCACCGTTCTTAAAAATCTGAGGGGTCAATCTATCATGATCCGCCGCTTGCTTCAGATTTCCTATAGCTTTTTCGACTTTATAAAGATTAGAAGGACTTATATTGGTTCGCCATTCAGGTTGACTAGAGATCGTGGGTAACCGAAGTGTGGCTCGAGGCCAATTGAACTGATCCCTAAATTGTTCTGCCCATCGATCCAGTCTCCTGGATTGAGAATGAATAATAAGACCATACTTTTCCGAGATAGTCTCACTCACACTAGCATTCCTAATACCAGTTTCCTTGATAAGTTGAACTGATCCCTGAAGTGATGAGAATGAATCACTAGGCCATCCATTTATGCGATAGTTTCTCTAACAGATAGATTTCTAATACCGTTACCTGTCGCCGCTGTCTTTTCCATCGCTTTTGCTTTCACTACCCTCCACTGTTCGCGATCGTTGTGTAGGCTTTTTATCAGCCTGCGCCTAAGCTTACTTCGTTCTTCGTCATGTTCAGAGCCAGGTGGGATGAATTTATAAGCATCTGTCAGTTCGATGGGTGCTACTGAGATCTACGGCTTCTTCCTAGCCTTACGGTTTACCTTGCTACCAGATATTATTGTTGTTTCCACAGCATTTTGGATATCGTTCCAACCTGCCTCCGGGTGGGAATCACTTACATAGCCACCTGTCTTTCTAGTTGTTCCTGAAATATATTCTTAGCTTTATTATCATTGAGTAAAACCCTAAAAGGTTTCTTTGCGGTCTTTCCTACGTCTAGTAATCCTCAAACAAATACGCGCTCGCACTAGAGCGCCTAACTTTCCGAAAAAGGTTAGAGAGATTTCTGTAAAACTCATCTTTTATGTCGTCTGAACTGCATTCAGTGGGAGCTTAGGCAGATACGACGAAGAGGCAACGGCGAGTGTCCCTATCTTTACGAGTCCTTGCTGTCCCTTTACGTTGGACAGCGCATAAGCGACTATCTATTAGGACCCAGTCTAAGAGAGATAGTTCGGCCCTAGGGCTCAATGCCATACATACACCAGCGAAGACAGGGCAAGCAGCAGCAGGGCTTCCAAATACATGAAGAGTAAATCGATCTGGATCTTTATTTTGACATGTTGAGGTTAAATGAATGACGCTATTCGGATCCTATGTGCGCATTTATGAGACGTAGCACACATCGATGTCATAAGATTGTGCAGTCCTAGCTAAGGAAGCTTGTTGTCCTATTTGATACAGTTTTCGAACATTGACGTAGTTTATAGTGTGGTTTCCGAAGACTGGGGGTAACAATCAGTGTACTCGAAAAGCTTGTATCAACGACACGAGGTGACAAAGGAACAAAAGAAAGGTTAGTCGTGAATTTAAAAGCATTATTAGGAGGTGAAGGAAGGATTTGATTGTGACCTATTCGGTCTCGTGTGCCGTTACTGTTATGAGGGCGGATGTCGCTTCCCGAGTTCGTTTGGTCTTATTTTATGGATATAAAAAGTGGGTTTTAAAAATATAGGACAGTCATAAGTTACTAGCATTTGATTATTTATACTTTCAGTACATTCCTCACGTATGTTGGAACAGTTGAGTTAGCTATTCTAAGGTTGGCGCTAGGTGTTAGGTGAAGATGGCAAATATATCGATGAATATTTATCAACTGAGATAGTTAGGACATGTATTAAGTATGCCCAACAACCGACTACTGTGACGCGTGATTATGATTGGTGTAGGAGTAGGTTAGAGAAATCTAGGGGCAACCAAAATATGGCATGAACTCAGTTCATGAAGTCACCGAATGGACTATGTATTTAGGTGTAGAATTCTTGGTTCGGGTCCACGTAATGATCGTTACCAATGACTGGAGACTGTGAAATTGTTCATAATCGTTCCCAGTTGCACAGGCGAGTTTACTCTTTGAATCCTCCTAGTTCCCAAGTTTCTAAGTTTCTTTTTTCTGTTATCTCACTCACCCACATTTTCTCGTTCCACGTTGCGCATAACTAACCGAATGACTAACAGCGGGTGATATTAGATCTCATATATTTGTTCTTCGGCATCTCTGAAGCATTATCAAATCGTGATAGATTTACCGGATGAGTTAGACTAAACTGAAACATAGAGTTCATAGTTTTTTAGTGACTTGGTTAGTGAGCTGTTAAAACTCAATGTCTAAATGTTTACATGTAATATTTCATAGTTGATCCTAGTAGAACATTGTCTTCCTTCACTATTTTGCGTATCCCTCTTCTCTGTTGACCTTGACTTTTGACTGATTTTGAGATTCCCAATAATAATGATAACAGACTCTTTATGATTTTTTTTTTGAAAAATGCTACTATTTACCTAGACTTATTTTCCTAAATGTTTATAGATCGTATTCTTACAACTAAGTTGCCTTGCTCGATTTCATTGGTTACTTTGCTATTATTATTGCTGGTATTATTATTATATGTACAAGAAACGCTCTCGGTACAACATAGATGCACTGAATAATCGTTTCAGTTTTTCTTATTTGTTATGTACTAACAGAACGATTTGCCTATTAGGAGTGATTTCAACAGTAAATGAGCTTATATTCTGTTTTAAATTGAGAACACTAAAACTAAACGAGATATAGAAGCATATTTTACCCACAAATCCACAGTTTTGAATGACTAAAAGCAGTCGTAAAAAAGCCACAGGCATACACTTTTTGCTGTTAATACCCACCACTGATTTGTAGTTGCAAACTTGTTCAGCTTCAATTATACGCCTTTGGTTTGCGTATTACTGATGTCTGAAATGACTACTTATATAGTCAGTCTGTTACTAACTTGGTGTTTTGCTAAAGAATAAAACACCACTAATTTATTTTTCCTTAATGTTGTGTCTTAATTTTTCAGTACTACGTTTTTAATCATCATCTACATGGCCTAGTACAAACTGAATTCTGGCTATTTTTCTTAAAGCATTGTGAAACAACTCAGAAATTACAGAAAAATTTGACGGTTTCATTAAATTTTCAGTTGTATAGGCATATAATATATTTTTGGGGCTGTTTATATTATTAGACCTCCACTGACAGTAAAGCGAATAGAGTATCTTTCATCCTAGCCTTATTATCGGCATAGGACCTAGACTGATAATAAAAGTCTTTACTCCTGTATCAAATAATCGCACATAAAGCTGTATATATATATATATATACTTCATTACCATATATTAATTAATAAGTTTGCTTGCTTCTTTGTGTACGTCTAGCTTTTACGCGCGGGAGCCTCTTAGTTCCATATGCCTATAAGAACAATGTGATACCCTATCTTGAAAAATCTCTTTATTGTTGTCCAACAAGCGAACAATATCACGTAGTAATCAGTAATGTGATTCGCCAGTCACATTCTCGTTTACGAACGAATTTTTAGAATACCCTTATTGTTTAAAGATTAACTTTTCCACTTTAACTAAATGTATTGAATCTGTGGATCAATAGTTGCCCGACCGAAGCTGCTACCTTGACGTGGTGGTCGGTCGTGATGACCCAACCGAGCTATATTGGCTGGAACATATGTTCCTGAAGGTTCTACCAAGCCAGGTAGGTCGATTGGAGAACGATGAGACTAAAAGAAGCTACTCAAGGTCTGAGGGCGAAGTCGTACTGCTGACTGCAGAGGGGAGTGACAGCGGTTAGGTGCTTCACTCGGACAACCAGCATCTACAGCGATACTGCCTTCTCGCAAGGAACGAAAGGGTTAGAAGGGGTCGGCCCTAAAAATGTCACACAACTTACCTCACGGATTTCCGTCTCCGGTGGTAAGGGTGCCCATTAAGGGCCTTCAAGAGCGGAGCCAATAATCAAACAACCCTTCATAAAATGGCCGTGCGTGACCGGCCTCAAGCAGTTGTCCCTTGGGCTCTGCGGTCACGCTCCCAGGTCGTTAAGACCAACACTAATCTACCTTCCCTTTCAGGTTCCTCATGAAACAACCTTCCACGGTTTGGGCAGCCGGGAAGTGACAACCGCCCTCATACCTGTAACAACACGCGAGACCAAAGTGGTCACAACCCCCTAATACCTCTCTTATCCCCACGACTAACTCTACTCTCATTTCTTTAACTCACAGCAACACTAATGCAAACAATGCGAGTTCACGAAACGTCGTTTCTGGTCTCCTGAAATCCCGTTCTAGACTACATGTACGTACATTATGTCAAATAGGGCAACAGGCTTCGCTCAATCGATGTATGCTGCGTCTCGGAAACGCGCATACAGGATCCTAGTAAAGTCATTAATCTGATTTCAATTTGTCAAAATAAAGAAGCAGCTCGATTTACTCTTCGTGTATCCGGTAGCCCTGATGCTGCTTCCCGGGGTCTCGCTGGTGTAGTTATAGCATTGAGTCCTGGGGCAGAACTGTCTCTCATAGACTGGATCCCTGTAGATAGTCGCTTGTGCGCCGTCCGACTGAACGGGACAGTAAGGACTCGGAAAGAGGGACACCCGTCGTTGCCTCTTCGTCGTATCCGCCTATGCCCCCACTGGCTGCAGTTCAAATGAGGTGAAAGATTAGTTCTACAGGAAGCTTTCGGACCTCTTCCTAGTATTTGTTTGAGGCTTACTGGACGTAGGAAGGACACCGCAAGGAAGCCTCTTCCGGTTTGCCTTAATGATAATAAAGCTAAGAATATATTTCAGGAACAACTAGAAAGAGAGTTAGGCAACCATGTAAATGATTCCTATCCGGAGGCAGGTTGGAATGATATCAAAAAGGCTATGGAAACGGCAGTGATATCTGCTAGTAAGGTTAGCCATAAGGCTAGAATGAAGCCGTGGATCTCTGTAGCATCCACTGATCTGATGGATGCCCGAAAACTCATCCCACCTGGCTCTGAACATGATGAAGAACGAAGTCAGCTTAAGCGCAGGCTGATAAAAAACCTGCGCAACGACCGTGAGCAGTGGTTGGTGGCGAAAGCAAAAGCAATCGAAAAAGCAGCAGCGATAGGCAACAACAGACAGTTGTACCGACTTACCAAGGAAACCGAAAGTGAGTGAAACTACTCGGGAACGGATGGGACTCTCATTCATTCATAATCCAGGATATTGGACTGATGGGCAGAACACTTTAGGGATCAGTTCAACTGGCCTTCAGCCACACTTCGGTTACCCACGATCTCTAGTCATCCTGAATTACAAATCGACGTAAGTCCCACGACTCTTTATGGAGTTGAGTAAGCTACAGGAAATCTGAAGTGAGGGCGAGCTGCAGGTCCTGATAGACTGACCCCTGAGATATTTAAGGATGGTGGTCGAGTTTTAACAGCTAGGCTGACTGAGATCTTAGGTAGAATCTGGGAAATGAACGTAATCCCATCCGACTGGTCTCAATCCTTGATTGTCCCAATCTATAAGAAAGGACACAAGTCTTCTTGTGACAATCACAGGGGGATAAGTCTAACTAATATAGTATCTAAAATATTGGCTTCAATAATACTTCGACGCTTAACGAAAGCTCGTGAAGAGCAGACTAGAGAAAACCAGTCTGGTTTTCGACCTGGACGTGGCTGTATAGACCACATTTTCACACTACGACAGGTCCTGGAACACAGACACACATTTGGGCGTCCTACAACAGTTGTTTTCCTGGACCTAAAAGCGGCATTTGACTTTGTTGATCGTGAGGTTCTGTGGCAGGTGTACTAAAGAAGTACATTAACCTTATACAACCTTTCTACTCGAGCACCACTGGTCGAGTGAGAGCTTATGGCGTACTGTCATCTGAATTCTCTACTTCAAGTGGTGTTCGTCAGGGATATCCACTCTTCCCATTCTTGCTTAATTTTATCATAGACATGCTCTTAGAAATAAACTTATCCTCGTCTGAATTTTCAGTAGACCTTTTTACCAGGAGGCTCGCTTATTGACTTAGAATATGCTGATGACATAGTTCTACTTGGTGAAGACGCTGACAAAATGCAGAGTCTTCTGACTACCCTCAGCAACAATGCAAGCATGTTCGGGATTCGGTTTTACCCCTCGAAATGCAAAATGTTACTTCAAGATTGGGTTTCATCGGCTACATGAACTAGAGATAGGGAGTGAAGTAGTCGAACGTGTAGACCGCTTCACTTATCTTGGGAGTCTCATCAATGCTGATGGCCTGGTGACTGACGAAATCTCGACACGGATACAGAAGGCTCGATTGGCTTTTGCCAACCTGCGTCACTTATGGCGCAAGCGAGATATCCGCTTGCTAACCAAAGGACGAGTGTACTGTGCAGCAGTTCGCTCCGTTCTCCTATATGGATGCGAAACATGGCCACTGAAAGTAGAAGATATTCGTAGGTTACTAGTATTCGATCATAGATGTCTTAGAAGCATTGCTCGTATATCGTGGGACAACCGAGTAAGCAATGCTGTCGTTAGGAAACGAGTTCTCGGTAGGGATGGCAGATCAATAGATGAAGTGGTGAAACTTCATCAGTTGAGGTGGTTGGGACATGTGTTGCGTATGCCTAACCACCGACTGCCGCGACGAGCTATGTTTTGTAGTGTAGGAGTAGGTTGGAAGAAAGTTAGGGGCCAGACCATGAAGTCACTGACAAGTGGACTGAGTCATTTTGGTAGATGTAGGTGACCTGTTTGGGGTCCGCTAGACGACAGTCACCAATGGTTAGAGACCTTGAACGACATGGCTCAGAATCGTTTGCAATGGCGCAGGTGCATCCACTCCGTGTGTTCTCTCTAAATCTAACCTTCTGAATTCCTCCTGCTAAATTTATCTTACTGAATCATACTTCTCGAATAATATCTTTGCTCCCTAATCTTCTCCATTGCTGCTATTAATTCTACTGTCGCTATTACTCTTGGATTTGAACTGACATTTGCGTCTGTGTGTTGATGTAGTATGGCAACCTAAACTGATGTATTTATGTACGAAGTTCTGCGTTGTATCTTTCTGTCTGTCTGTCTGGATCAATAGTTGGTAATCAAACGTCTAATTTTAAGCGAATACTTGTTGCTTGGTGTAAGGAACCTAATTTATTTACTAGAGACTAAATCCATGCCTCTACTTTCATCGATTTTTTCGTATGTATAAACACTATTGATTGAAGAACTCTTACTTGTCACTAATTATTCTTATTACTTTGAGATATAAAAATAAGTCTATTTGATCCAGCAAGGGTGGGTTAATAAATCTTAAATGCCTTTATCTACTAATATCGATCGTGTTCTTTGCAAAAGTTGTGTTTGATCTTCTATTTCAAAGTTTTTGTTAAGTATTATCGACACCAATTTGACCAGTTGGGTTTAGCAGCAGACAGATAACATAATATTGAAGTTGTGGTGATAATATTAGCTGTTGGTCTCTGTTCCCCTTGTGCTCATGAGTGTGCGCTGTCAAGGAAATTGTAACTAAGACATTCACTTTTTAGTCCTCCTTGGTTTCCAATGCATTCTCAGCTAAAACCATTTTCTAACCGCACACCCGTTTCGGCGAATACTTAAATATATACGTACTGTGTACTAAGTAACGTCTCAGTGCTTTGAATTTAGACGATATTTCCAGAGTATCAATAAAATTTCCTAAATCATATTATACTCTTTTCCTATACCTCAACCTGTCTCATCACATCACTTTTACTATTTTATGATCATTTCGCTACTGAGTTATTATATCTCCTATATGGTACTCGAAATGTCACAGTATTCTTTCGATTGCTTAGCATAATAAACATGTAGTGTAAATCTGTTCTATAGAACTGCAGCAATTTGTTTAATCATTGATATTTTTTCATAATTGAAACAGTGTAAAGAGGAAATAGAGAAGGAGTCGTTAAACTAGGAATACTTCTAATGTGTTTCAACCAATTAACAAACGTTATCAGCACAGTTCGGTGAAAAAGTTTTTTCGTGTTCGGTAGAGCATGTGGTAGTTGGTTCCATAATAAAGCTACCTGCTGTCTAGATTTAAAATTATGTTGTACATCTTATTAAGTGTAAAACATAATTTCCTCCGTAAAACTTTATCATTCTGTTTTATTTGTAATTCATTGTTATTGATTTATCCTTCCTAATTTTAGGTCATTCAAATGATAGTCAGAATAAATCTAAAGAATTATACCGTACTCAAGCAACTGATTCACAATTAATGAGACGTAAAACTTATGGCAATTCACGTCCCGGCAGCCCTTCAGTTAGTACAGATACCAACTCCGAAACTCATGCTCCAAATGAAAATTATAATGACCAATCTGCTTTATCAAGGTCAAGAAAACGAGCAAGAAGTGAAGTCCCTAGAATGGGATCTACTGGTTCAAATAATTTATCATCGAATCCTTTACTCAGATCTGTTAATGACGATAAAGAAGACAGCGAAGATGACGAACGAGTTGCTTTGAATAAAAGTAATTCGCGTTCAGATATTGACGAAGGCGGATTTCATATTGGCAATGATTTCGATGTAGGCATTCGTGATAGACATCGCCGTCAAACATACCAACTAAACAACCGCCAGAGGGACTCGTCTGTAGGTGGTTATACACGATCGTCTGTGGCGGGTACATTACCTCGTCGCCAGCGTATGACAGGTAGTTTAACTCGAGCTACTACTATCAGTGGTGTTGACCCACATGGAACTCTGAGATCTGCATGTAGACTTGCTCACTCTATCCGTGCCGGTATTATTCCACCTCCACCATCGGAACCTCCTCCTGCTACACCACTATCTAGTTCACTAATGTCCGAACTAGAATCTATTGGATCCAATCCAGTTTCTGGTCTAATAAATCCATTCGCATTACAGCTGCATAATTCACAACAACAACAACAGGCTTTAGCAGCAGCTGTTGCAGCAGCCAGTGGATTTCCTCAAGTCCTATCAGGTGTCAATCAAAATAATTTAGCCAATTCTTATATGTTCAATCGTAAGTGTGAATCAGTTCTCTATCATTACCTGTTTGTTGTATTTTTACTACTGTCTTATTCTTTCCATTTTCAATATTCAGACATTTGATTTTATGGAGTTCACTTAAATTTTTTTTGGACCAGCTGTAACCTTTATTGTTTTTTCTTAACTGCCTTTGTTGTCCACTGGTGCTTTTTACTTTCAAGGTTATAAAACTAAGCCAACCTTGTCTTCGTATAAATATTTACGAGGGAGAGAGATCAGTAAATGACCTTAAATGACTCATTAGCTAGTTATTCTTGTTGCTTTTAGTCGTATGCCCTCTAGCTGTTTATGCGTAAAAAAATAGGTGAGTTTAGGTGATGACGTGTTGTTAACATTACAATATGGGTGTTGTTCGTGACAAAAACGTGCAAATGTCACCGAAGTATTCAACTACCGTAAGTAATAAATGTTTGTCTGGCACTCACTTGTATAAAGTGAAATCAAAACAAGCTGGCTTTTATCGGTAGTATAACTTTGTGTAAACTGTACAACGTAATATGTATGAAATCAAATATCTCAGAATCTCCATTCACTTGTTTGTTTTAAATGGATGACTTTATTCAAATACTTAATTTTTACAGAAAGCTAGGGGCGACCAGACCAAAACATGGCAAAAATTTCTGAAGTCATTGACAACTGAGTCATGTTGGTAGGTGCAGACTATTCAGTTGGTGTCCGCGAGACGGTAATAACTGATGGTAGGGAATGGTTTAAGTGGTTCGAAATTTTCCTGGTTCGCGTTTTTCATCAAGTTTCATCTCAACAGGACGGGGTTCCTTACACTTGACCAACCTCTCTCATCTACCCGTGACTGGGACCGTCAATAACCTTTAATGAGCCTCAACCGAAATGTCCGAACTGTGTAGGAGACCGGAAGAGTCATTCAAGTTGTTGCGGAAACGAAAAGATACAACCTGGAATTAGCGAAACCCATTAAAAGTAGGTTGCACATAAGAGACTAACTTCAGGAGAGATGCTATTATACACCCACCGTGAAGTAGTAAATGCTGCACATTCACAAGGAGTTGCACTGGTGTTATACGAAGAAGCATAAGATGGGAATCTCATGAACTCCTTACTTCAAAATAAAGAAAAGGAGGATTATAATTGATGTTACATAGCGTTATGTGCTCAACAATGACAGTAGTGAAAACAATAAAGACCGATTTTATTAGAGGCTGCAGTCAGTCATAGAAAAATGTCTAGGCAAGGACTTGGCTATCTTGATGGGAGACGTAGTCGCCGAGGTTGGGATGGACAACACTGAATATGAAGATATTATGAGACGACATGAACTGGGGGAAAGGACCGAAAACGGTAAGGGGTACGCAAATCTATGTGCTTTAAAAAAATGATTATGTTGAGTATTCTATCTCCCAACAAACGCATACGCAAGGCTACATGGGTTCCACTAGATCACATTACAGAGGACCAAATCGATCAACTTCTTTGTATCAACGAAAATCTTAGAAGTACTATGGAAGTTCTGAGAACAGAGAGAGAAACTGATCTAGTCTCAGATGGCCAAGATGCAGCTAAAGCTAATGAAGCATTAAACAACTAGAGAAACACCATTAGAGAAATTTAATACGGTCTTTCTTCGAGATACCTACAAAACCAGCGAATTCAGGACAGCTTTTGGTAACAAGCTACAAGCCTTTCACGACCTACTAAACGAACAGTAAACCTCCATGAAGAACAAGGAATACAGAACAATCATTGGGATCCCAGAATAGCAAAACAGGTAGGTAGGACATTTTCAAGAACTACTGAACTGATCAGCCACACTGAGTCCACCAATCATCGAAGTAGCACCTACACACCTTATAAATGTTACCCCATCTATATTGGCAGAGATCAGCATGTCCATCCGATAGATCAAGAGTGGTAAAGCAGCAGGGGCATCTTTTTGTCGAAGGGCTCGGGGCTGAGTTAAGGCATTTACGTGCTAGAAAAGTAGTTTCCTGTTGCATGACCTATAGAGTTTTATTGTTAAGTTTAAAGTATTTGACCATCAGTTGAAATGTCTGAAAAGAATCTACTCCTTGAAAAAAATTTCCATTATTAGATTATCAGGGTAAATACTTTAGTGATTTCCAGTTTTCGTAAGACAATTTTATTGTTTGGCTGCATTTGGACGAAGTTATTGAATTCACTTATGCTTATAGTTCAACGGGTTTCGGTTTATGTGTTGCAGGGTGATTTGAACTTAATGTTTTGTATGTTGTATGTTGTCTGATCTATTTTTATGCAAAGTAGCAAAGCCTTTAGAAATGACTTCAATCTATATCATCTGTAGTCAATCACATGAACATCAACTACCAAATGTTTTATAAACGGTATGGTATATTTTACCAATTCCTTACACTTGGATTAATTTTCGATGCAAATGCTTTTCAAATTACCGGTAAATTATTCTTTTAATTTTTAATTCATATAACTAGTCAATAGAACTTGTTGATTTCAGCGATCTTTACATAATAATCTTGCTCTATATATGCATGAATTCCGTCATTTTACGGCATAGATTTCAAAATTTATTTCGATTCTGTGTACAGACATTGTTTTATTTTCATAGTTAAGTAGAACTTTACTTATTTCTTACTCAATATGTATGTTATCTCGTCTTGATAATTATAAATTCTTTTTTATTGCTAGAAAGAAATAAAGTTTTTAGATAATAGTGTAAAATCAAGCAATGTATTAAGCGAATTTTCAATTGTACATTATACGTTTTGTGTGTATCAAAGAATGTTTACGTCAAAGATGAACACTCATCATCTTTAAAAAAAAAGAACACTTAAGTGATACATAATTTTTGGCTACCGAATGAAAGAAGATACAATTGTCTACATCATTCTAAAATAATTGTGATGTGTATTATACACTGATTACATTCCACCCCTGTCTATATCACTTTGTAGTAGAATTTGTGACCTTGCTTTATAGTGGCTTTTGTTATAGTCATTATTTACGTGTGCGATTCGCCTCACATTTGAATAGTCACTTTTTATGTCATAATGTTCATACATAGTAGTTTTATCTTATAAATGAAGTCGATTTAATAAAAATGCCTAGCTGTTCAACATATTTCCTCTTACTTATTGTCTGTTTTCCTCTTGTTTAGTTTATAGTCTTTATCTTTTTATGGTTGCATAAGTACATTCTCTTTCGAGCTAATGAATTAACTAGTTTCTTTCATCAATATATATACATAACCTCTGGACCACTGAGCGTACATCCAACGGTGTTAATGTCTAACTCTGATCAATCTATTGATTTTGCGCGACCTCACCCCTTTGTCTTCGGTAGTTACTACCTACACCCCACACGTTTGAACTCCAATTGTCACGTCTTCTCACTAAAACTCCGAGAATTTCCTGCTGAAGCTAGTCACTAATGAGCACATCGTACAATATGCCCTTATGTTGATCATCTTAACTCTAATAACTCTTCGGCTATGTGACAGGAAACTTTTAGTATTAGTGTACACAATTTTAAATTAAACTGTAATAAGTTACTTTTCAGTAACTGATTGTCTCAGTCGACTTTGATCTTACATACATTGTAACCTAACAAAAGAGTCATTTCACAATCTCAACAAGGAGCTCATGGTCATTTACAAACTAGTCTGCCCCATAATCATCGTTATTACAAACACCACCATGGCGCAGTTCCCAAAACTTCCGGTTCATATAAATAAATACATCATGAAATAAAAACTAGTGCTGTGCTGACCGAATTCTAGCAACCAAGCTTGAACTAAATGACTTGTGTGACAGTATACTTAATTTTTTATCAGCTGGTTCCAAACGGTATGTAGGAAACCCTGCAAAAAACGGGTTTAATACTTGCTAGCCATCATCAGTTTTAGAAAATTTTTACCTTGAATACTAGAATAAAATTTACTGTTCAGCAGACTAGATTTAATTAACCCAAAGGTGAACCAAGTATTTATTTCCGTGACATTATTGATTCAAAATGTCAAATTTTAAAACACTTTGGAAGCCGTTGTAATGTAGACAGTTATTGATGCTTAGTAACAAATAATTTTAGAACACTCTCTCTGCTGCTTACTATCTAATCCATTTGTATGTATCTGTGCATAGGTGCAAGTTCTTTGTACAATACGATTTTTCAATGAATCCACTAGGCTTTTCTTCAGATAAAACTTGGATTTAATTCTTATTGGTATTCACATATTTCAGCAACAAAACGGACATTAAGTTAGTGAGTATAAATCAATTAAAAATACCGTATTTTGCCGGATGAATTAATTCGGTTGCATGACCTGGAAATCAATGGATATGTAAATCCACCTCATTAGTCATTTTCTCTGAAATTGTTGTATCGGTTGTGATTAGACTCGATTTGTTGACAGTGTTTGTTTATCATCTATTACCTGTAAATAAAACTTACAAACGATCGATTATTGATATGTTCTAATGTATATAAGTTGAGTTTTTTACATAATTGAAACTTGATATAATCTCTCCATAGGATCAAAAGAGGTTTGTTCTTGTGGATGTATGGATTGATAATCCAGTCAGTCAGTCACAATGTAGATGTTATTGCGTACGTACATACCACATTATCGCAGAGAGATTGGATTGTCGATTCAAATCCCATAGTATTAGACGTGGAAGAAGTAATGGATAAGATTAGGGTTCGCAGATCTTATTCAATAGTATAATCAAGCGAAATAAATTTATAGCGATAAGCAGAGGTCCTGATCTCATGAGGTCATGAGAGAAGACAAAGAATGGATATACCTGCACCATTATAAACGATTTTCAGCCATGCTATTCAAGGTCTCTAACCATCGATTATTATCATATCATGGACCCTAACCAGGTTAGCCTGCACCTACTAACATGGCTCACTCCAGTTATCAGTGAATTCATGCATTTGTGCCACTTTTTGGTTTGGTCGCACCTAGCATCCTTTCAACCTACTCCTAAACCACAAAACATC